AATGCTAGATTCTGCAAGTCGGTGGTGATAGGGAGGGAGTGACAATGAATTCATAGCTGTGGATTTTCTTGTAAACTATCTGAGGAGGGCTGATAAAGCAGAGATCCTGTCAACGTAGCGCGGAATGAATATTCCCAGGTCCATTACTGTGACTAATGCAGTGAGACTGGGTCATGAAACGAACACCTTGGCCCTTCCACAGGTTTCGTGCCCTCAAAGTCCCACACAAACAGCCGAGGGGTGAGAGCATGGACTCGGGAACCACAGTGCGAATCCATCTCTGCCATAAGGTACCCGGGAGTCACTACACTTCTCTAAGCCTGCCCCTCATATAAATATGGGCATATTGATACCCACTTCACACCAAATAGCTGTGCGCTAAATGAGGATAGTCTGTGGAAAATGCCTCGTGCAGTGCCCAGCACATACTAAGTAATCAGCAAACTGTCTTCATAGTTACCTCATCACCAGTATATGTCTCACTAAGTTATTGGAAGAATGAGACTCTGGTCGGAGGGGGAGGAGCCAGAAAAGTCAAGGGGGAAGTGACAGGAGACCAAAGCCAAACAGCTCTGGCTGTCCAGGGGGCTTGCCAGTAAGCGCCCCGGCTATGGAGCCTGCAACTGACCGGGGTGGGGTACACCGGGCCTCAGATAGGGTCCCGATTTCCCCCCCAGGGAAGTTACTTATCCACACAGGAAACAGAAAGGAGCTCTTTGACCTTGAGCCTGATCTGTACTCTCAAGTTTGTTCTGCAGCTTTTAAGAAATGTTTTTCAATGACCTACAGGAAACCGATGCGACAGAACGGTATGGGAAACAGCTCCCGTGCTGAATTTAACAGGGTCATTTAATCCCCCAACGAAATCTAACGGTTATGAATGGCAAACCCACGTATACTGCCATCGGTTTAGCAAAGCTGGAGAAAACACTTCACTGAATTCTCAGACTGCATCCATTCAAAGCCCATTTGATTATTAAACTTACCCAGCACTACACTTTACCATTTATGCCCCTCTCGCTCTCCCCTTCCGTATGTGAACCATGTCCTCTCACCCTGAGAACATTCCTATCCCTTCCTCAAGATCCAGGTGTTGACTGCCCCTAGAAAGACCTAAAGAGTAGACTATTGGGGAAAAGAAGGAAGCTCCTAGATATTTCAAAGATCACTCCAATAACAGTAGTCCAAATATTAATCTCCCGTCAGAGTCTAGGGTAAGAGGAGAAAAGGAAGACGGGGTGCCCAGCAGGACAGCGGGCACAGAAGTTCTGGACCTAAAGCCATGGACCAGTTTCCTTATTCACACACCACCTCCCCCCTCCACATTGTACACAAAATCGTCTCTCCGTGCATTTTTAGAGCAAGAGAAAACACAGCTTCCATCAACCACTCAAAAGAGTTCAGTCATTCAAGAACGGTTAAGAAGCACCAGCACCAAGCACCAACTCCGGGAGCTGTGTTGTAGGCACCGCCTCCCACCTCCCCGCCCCAGACAGAGACAAAACAGGCTCCCGTGCAAGCCCTTCAGGTCACCTCCTGAGTCACCGATGGCTTTAAAAAAAAAAATCTTTAATGGAATCTGTGTTCAAATAATATGTTACAACAAAAATATACAGAATGTACACAATACAAAAATATTTAGAAACAAACATTGCAGCTTGTGTTTCCTTTTGTTTCCCACTTACTCAAGTCCTTTGGGGGGAGGGGTGCGGAAATTCAGCGTTGGGCACTGTTTTTTTAAGGCAGAGGAGTATCGGGGCTTTTTGGCCAGCCCTGGGAGCAACATGAAGGACGCCAGGAAAGGGCTTCCACTGCACCCGGGAATCTGCATTCTTTGCAAATGACATTGGACCCTGGGGGAAGATCTGGGTTTGGTGAGCAATGACTCCCCTAATCCTCCGGGTAAGGAGGGTCCTCGTGGAAATGGAGAGTCCTATTAGCTGGCAAAAATGCCTCATTAGGGAGCTTTTCCTAATTAAAAAAAATGAATGACTAATGGTGTCATTAAAGCCAAATTTCTCCTTTGAAGATTTGTTTTCCCTTCCCTAGTTTCTGTGATTCCGCTTCCATTTAACGAACTAGCAAATCTATGGCTGCTTTTTGGGGAATCCCCAGCTTTCAGTTTCTGCGTCCCATGGATGGAAGGCCAGCCACCCTCCACAGCCCCAAGAGGCACACTGGGCGGGTGGCTGCATGGGCTCAGGAAGGAGGGATGATGGGGATGGGTTGCCGGCAGGGTGCCGGGGATGAGGGTGCGCGGAGTGGCCGAGGAGAAAGCCAGACACCAAAACAGAAACCTTTCTTACCAGACAATGATCTCTGGCCCTGGTTTGGAGACCTGGGTTGTATGGAGTGACCATGGACCCCACTGGGTGGCCCTGCTTGGAGCTGATGGTTGGGCGAGGGTGGGGAGGGGGGTGTGAGGCTGACCAAAGAACTTTGGGGTTCCTTTTGGACCCTGCTGACAGGGTACAGCTGGGGCCTATGGCCTGAGGCTAGATGAGGCTCCGTTGGAGGTCTGAGACAGGACGGCAAATGGGATTTTCCCCTCAGGCAGTCCTTCTTGGTAGCAAGCTCCCATCTGTGGCCCTGAGGGAACTGGGCGCTTCTCTGAGGCCTTTCTAGAGTCTTCTTCTCACCACGGCGAGAGGGAGACCCCTCTCCAGGCCGCACCAGATGAAGGAAGGGGGGGGGACTCTCCACTCCCTCCACCCACTACCCAGAATACGGGGGGGGGGGGGGCCTGGAGGGACGCCCTGCCTCTCCATAGGGCACCGGCTGCCTCCATTCCTTCAGGGAGGGACAGCACCATTCAGGTTGAAGGGGCTGCAGCCCATGGCCAGGCCCCCCCTCCATCCTTACCCAAGTCCTCTCAGCCCCAGTTCCAACTTGCTCTCCTCTCCTAGGAAGCTGACTCTCCCAGCTACACCCTTCCCTCAGTGAGGCAGAGACAGGCTGGCAGGACACAGACAAGATGCCTCAGGGTGAGGCGGCCCAGCCCCCGATCTGGGCCTGCGCCAGCTGGGCCTGACAGTCCTCAGTACTGTGCCAGCACGAGGGCAGCACGACCTCAGGAGCCACACGGGGGGACCCGGACAATCTATCGAGCACCAGGCAAAGACGGGGAAGGGCTTGGCATAGCCTGGGGCTGCATGGAGACCCTGTCCATTCACGTGTGATCACTGAGGACAGGAAGCCACAGCGGCCCAAGACCCCCAACTGCCTGGTCTGGCTGACTCCAGACTAAGCTCCTGCCCTCGCCCCTGCATGGACCCAGTCCCTCTGCCTCCTGGACTGGAGTTCTTTGTCCTTCTGGGTTGTCAGTGGTTGGGAATTCCAAGAGCAGTATACAGGGAATCCTATATTTTGTCAAAAGCTGTCCTCCCCTCCCCCTCTCCTCAGGGCCTGTATCAGCTCCTGCTCGGGGGTCATTCCCTTAGCCTCATTTTCCCACCTGTGCCTTGGGGTGGGGATGGACCTGACAATAGCCAAGTTCCCTCCAAGCTCTGAGCATCTGCATCTATGGGCTGCCCTCACCTCTGACCCTCATCCCAATACCCAACAATTCTCCAGAAGCAGTTTTCCCCTAAATTGGAATTTCTTGTACCGCAGCCTCCAGTCCCCCCTACTCAATGGACACATGGCTTCAATAATCCTGCCGTGGCCTCTCTGACACCCCCAAAGCTCCTTCCCTCGTAAGGAAAACAGAACAGAACCATCTCAGATGTGAAGGTCATTCCAGAGGCGAACAAGAAGGGAGCTTGGCAAAGGCCAACCGCGGCATCCTGAGCATCCCCGGAAGGGCCCAAGGTCTTCCTCCACCAAGGACAAGTCTCCCACTGGTCAGTGGTCCTCAGGGAGACGCCTGGAAAGGATGAGGAATGGGAAGGAAGGGGCTAGCTTTGCCGAAAGCCAGATCCTCAGGGGTCACACCCTCCCACTACTCAGCGCCTTTTTTCCTCTCACACAGACCCTTCCACACACACCCATGTCCCTCATGGGCTTCCTCTGCAGCCTCTGACTTCCCTCACGTTCTTCCCATGGCATCTCCTACCATCCCATGGATGTCCTCACCCACCGAACCCCACACACACACACACACACACACACACACACACACACACACACACAC